TATAGGCCAGGAAATAGGGTGCAGTATATAGGCCAGGAAATAGGGTGCCTTATATAGGCCAATAAATAGGGTGCCTTATATAGGCCAGGAAATAGGGTGCAGTATATAGGCCAAGAAATAGGGTGCAGTATATAGGCCAGGAAATAGGGTGCCTTATATAGGCCAATAAATAGGGTGCCTTATATAGGCCAGGAAATGGGTGCAGTAATATAGGCCAAAAAAATAGGGTGCAGTATATAGGCCAATAAATAGGGTGCCCCTTTATAGGCCAGGAAATAGGGTGCCTTATATAGGCCAGGAAATAGGGTGCAGTATATAGGCCAGGAAATAGGGTGCCTTATATAGGCCAGGAAATAGGGTGCAGTATATAGGCCAGGAAATTGTGTGTTTTATATAGGCCAGGAAATAGGGTGACTTCAAATTTGCCCACAGTCTTTGCCAAATCACACAGCATAGAGCCGGCTACCCTATCCCCTAACCCCACAGAGCCAGAAGAGACGCAACTCTAACCCAGCCCCAGCCAGCCAGTCGATCCCAGATGAGAGCAGGCTTTGTCTGTGGATTTAGATTATGCAGATTACTTCCTGATTCTATCCACGTGTCTCATTGGCTAATCCTCCTTTTACTTTCCGGAGGGCGGAGTCTGCTTTTAAGGCGAGGGAAGTGTGTGTGTGCTCACAGAGCCAGATGAGACCAAACTCTAACCCAGCCCCAGCCAGCTACCATAACCCCACAGAGCCAGATGAGACCAAACTCTAACCCAGCCCCAGCCAGCTACCATAACCCCACAGAGCCAGATTGAGACCAAACTCTAACCCCAGCCCCAAGCCAGCTTACCATAACCCCAAAGAGCCAGATGAGACCCAACTCTAACCCAGCCCCAGCCAGCTACCATAACCCCACAGAGCCAGATGAGACCTAACTCTAACCCAGCCCCAGCCAGCTACCATAACCCCACAGAGCCAGATGAGACCTAACTCTAACCCAGCCCCAGCCAGCTACCATAACCCCACAGAGCCAGATGAGACCTAACTCTAACCCAGCCCCTGCCAGCTACCATAACCCCACAGAGCCAGATGAGACCTAACTCTAACCCAGCCCCAGCCAGCCAGCAACCATAACCCCACAGAGCCAGATGAGACCCAACTCTACAACCCCCAAGCCCCTGCCAGTCTACCCATAAACCCCACAGAGCCCAAATTGAGACCCAACTCTAACCCCAAAGCCCCAGCCAGCTAACCATAAACCCCACAGAGCCCAGATGAGATCCTAACCTCTAACCCAGCCCTAGCCAACTACCATAACCCCACAGAGCCAGATGAGACTTAACTCTAACCCAGCTCCAGCCAGCTACCATAACCCCACAGAGCCAGATGAGACCTAACTATATCCCAGTCCCAGCCAGCTACCATAACCCCACAGAGCCAGATGAGACCCAACTCTAACCCAGTCCCAGCCAGCCTACCATAACCCCACAGAGCCAGATGAGACCCAACTCTAACCCAGCCCCTGCCAGCTACCATAACCCCACAGAGCCAGATGAGACCCAACTCTAACCCAGCCCTAGCCAACTACCATAACCCCACAGAGCCAGGTGAGACCCAACTCTAACCCAGCCCCTGCCAGCTACCATAACCCCACAAAAGCCGATGAGACCTAACTCTAACCCAGCCCCACAGCCAGCAACCATAACCCACAAGCCAGATGAGACCCACTCTAACCCAGCCCTGCCAGCTACCATAACCCCACAGAGCCAAAATGAGACCCAACTCTAACCCAGCCCCCAGCCACTACCATAACCCCACAGAGCCAGATGAGACCCAACTCTAACCCAGCCCCCAGCCAGCTACCATAACCCCACAGAGCCAGATGAGACCCAACTCTAACCCAGCCCCTGCCAGCTACCATAAACCCCACAGAGCCAGATGAGCCCCCAACTCAACCCAGCCCTGCCAACTACCATAACCCCCCAGAGCCAGATGAGACCCTAACTCTAACCCCGCCCCAGCCCCCAGCAACCCAACCCCACAGAGCCAGATGAAAACCACCAACCCTAACCCAGCCCCAGCCACTACCATAACCCCACAGAGCCAAATGAGACCCAACTCTAACCCAGCCCCAGCCCCGCTACCATAAACCCACCCCGCAGAGCCCCGATGAGACCAAATCTAACCCAGCCCTGCCAACTACCCCTAAAAACCCCCAAAAAGCCAATGAGACAACCCCTAACCCAGCCCCCCTGCCAAAACCATAACCCCACAGAAACCAGATATGACCCCCAACTTAACCCAGCCCCTGCCAGCTACCATAACCCACAGAGCCATGAGACCCCAACTCTAAACCAGCCCCAGCCAGCCAGCTACCATAACCCCACAGAGCCAGATGAGACCTAACTCTAAAACCCCGCCCCTGCCAGCTACCCTAAAACCCCACGAGCCAGATGAGACCCAACTCTAAAACCCCGCCCCAGCCAGCTACCATAAACCCACAGAGCCAGATGAGCCAACTCTAACCCAGCCCCTGCCCCGCTAAACCCTAACCCAAAAGAGCCAGATGAGACCCAACTCTAACCCAGCCCCACCAGCACCCCTAACCCCACAGAGCCAGAGAGACCCAACTCTAACCCAGCCCCCAGCCAACTACCATAACCCCACAGAGCCAGATGAGAAAAAACTCTAACCCAGCCCTGCCCAGCTACCATAAAACCCCACAGAGCCAGATATGACCCAAAACTCTAACCCAGCCCCTGCCCTACCATAACCCCACAAAAGCCAGATGAGACCCAACTCTAACCCAGCCCCAGCCAGCCCAGCTAAATAACCCCACAGAGCCAGATGAACCTAACTCTAACCCAGCCCCTGCCAGCTACCATAACCCAAACAGAGCCAATGAACCCCAATCAACCCAGCCCCAGCCAGCTACCATAACCCCACAGAGCCAGATGAGACCTAACTCTAACCCAGCCCTAGCCAACTACCATAACCCACAGAGCCAAGATGAGACTTAACTCAACCCAGCTCCAGCCAGCTACCATAACCCCACAGAGCCAGATGAGACCTAACTATATCCCAGTCCCAGCCAGCTACCATAACCCCACAGAGCCAGATGAGACCCAACTCTAACCCAGTCCCAGCCAGCACCATAACCCCACCAGAAACCAGATGAGAAACCCCAAACCCCTAACCCAGCCCCTGCCAGCACCATAACCCCACAGAGCCAGATGAGACCCAACCCCCTAAACCCAGCCCCCCAGCCAACTACCCAACCCCACAGAGCCAGGTGAGACCCAACTCTAAACCCAGCCCCTGCCAGCTACCATAAAAACCCCCACAGAGCCAGATGGAGACTAACTCTAACCCAGCCCCAGCCAGCCAGCACATAACCCCACAGAGCCAAGAGACCCAACTCTAACCCAGCCCCTGCCAGCTACCATAACCCCACAGAGCCAAATGAGACCTAAAATCAACCCATTTCCCCCGCCACCAGCAAAACCCTAACCCCACAGAGCCAGATGAGGGCCCAACCCCTAACCCAGCCCCAGCCGCTACCATAAACCCCCCCGAGCCGATGAGCCCCCAAATCTATCCCAGCCCCCGCCCCCCCACCCAAAAACCCCCCCCGAGCCCAAATTTAACCCAACTCCCAACCCCCCCTGCCACTCCATAACCCCACAGAGCCGATGAACCCAACTCTAAAAAACCCCGGGCCCCCGCCGTCCCCCGGGGTACCCCTAAAAACCCCCAGAAACCGGTGGGGACCTAACCCCAACCCAACCCCGGGCCCGGGGTACCCTAAACCCCCCGATCCAATGAGACCCCAAATTTTAAAACCCAGCCCCTGGGCCCCCTTTCCAAAAAACCCCCCGAGCCAATTAACCCAACTCTAAACCCAACCCCTTCCAGTACCATAACCCCCCAGAGCCCCGATGAGACCCCAAAGTAACCAAGCCCCCCCAGCTACCCAAAACCCCCCCCAGCCCGATGAGACCTAAAAATCAACCCATCCCCCCCCAGCCAGCCCCCCTAAACCCCCCAGAGCCAGATGAACCAACCCCTAAAAACCCCCCCCAGCCAAAACCCGCAAAACCCTAAACCCCCCAGAGCCAATGAGCCCCAATTCTAACCCAGCCCCAGCCGGGTACCCCTAAAAACCCCCAGACCAGATTTTAGACCCAACTCTAGCCCCGTCCCACCAAAATACCATAAAAACCCCCAAGCTAGATTGGGCCTAAAACCCGGGCCCCCCCCCGCCCCGGGTACCATAACCCCACAGAGCCCCTTAACCCAAATCTAACCCCGCCCCAGCCAGCCAGCTACCCCACAGAAGCCAGATGAGACCCAACTCTAGCCCAGTCCAGCCAACTACCATAACCCCACAGAGCTAGATGAGACCTAACTCTGACCCAGCCCCTGCCAGCTACCATAACCCCACAGAGCCAGATTAGACCCAACTCTAACCCAGCCCCAGCCAGCCAGCTACCATAACCCCACAGAGCCAGATGAGACCTAATTCTAACCCAGCCCTAGCCAACTACCATAACCCCACAGAGATAGATGAGACCTAACTCTAACCCAGCCCCAGCCAGCCAGCAACCATAACCCCACAGAGCCAGATGAGCCCCAATTCTAACCCAGCCCCAGCCAGCTACCATAACCCCACAGAGCCAGATGAGACCCAATTCTAACCCAGCCCCAGCCAGTCAGTCAACCCCAGATGAGAGCAGGCTTTGTCTGTGGATTTAGATTCTCACGAGGGACCATTCTGCCTCTCCCACACAGTCCTTCACGCTCATTGGCTCACACAGGCACAACCTCATTCCAAACCCCGCCCAATGACAACGCCTGTGGCATTCTCAGCCGCCCACTCACTCGGAGTATGCTGATTAGCTCTCTCTGTATCTAGAATAAAGAAACACAGCTCTCCCACCCAACAGAAACATGACTGAGGTCAAATCCACTCACTGTCCTAGAGAGGGATCTAACACACAGAACACAATACCTGTCGTCCCCCGGCAGATGGAAGCCCCCCCCGGAGCCGAACATGGACCAGGCCGAAGGAGTCTGGATGGGAGTCAGACTGGGCGGGAACATACCATCTCTATCCTGTAGGGGGGGGCCAGGGGAGCTGGGCTGGGAATTAGACACTCTCAACAGAGACTAGAGAGGGAGAGAGTGAGAGATAAAGAGGAAGAAACAGTTAGCGTGTGTAAGAGAGTGAACGCTATCAAAAAACCTCTGCTTGGGAATGTAGGAAAGTATGTTGTGTTCTCACCCTCCCGGTAGAGTCCACATCCAGGCGTAGAGGGGGGGGGATGTTCCGTGGGCGGGGGCTGGGCAGTGGGGGCGTGGAGTCGACCAATCGTAAGTGGAGTCTGTCCAGGTGTGTGGGGGAGGATGGGCCGCTGTGGAGGAGGAGGGGCTTCAGCCCTCCAAACCCCTCCCCATCAGACCCTATTGGCTGGGCCAGCAAGTGGGAGGTACCCTGAGAGTGCACAAGGTGTCCCGTCCTGAGAGCGCGCACGTGCCCCAGCAGCCCGCCTCCAGCCCCTCCCCTCTCTAGACCAATCCCCTCAAGCGACTCCAGAGAGTGGGCGTGTCTCATGCTGTCCATCACCCGTCTAAGCCCCAACCCTTCCTCTCGTTCCAGGAAGTCAGTGCAGGTCCATCGCCCCCGGTGATAGGGTTCTCCGTGGCCCTGGCCCAATCGGACAACTCGGAACCTGGAGCCCTGCCCCGCGGCATCTTGGGAGTTGTATTTCCTCAGAGAGAGGGGAGTCGTCGGCTGGGAGGAGCTTCCCTGCTGGTGGAAGGGGCCAAGCTGGGAGGAAGCAGTGGATTGGCTGGAGGACTGAGGGGAGGGATTTGATTGGCTAGAGGCCTGGGCAGGGGGTGGGGCTTCCCCAGAGCTCCCGGTGTAGTCTGACGTCACACTGGTAATCTGGAAGCCACTCCTCTTCTTACCCCCACTCATCTAAACACACAGAGACAGAGAGACAGAGAGGGACAGAGAGAGACAGAGACCGAGAGAGACAGAGACAGAGACAGAGAAAGAGATAGACAGAGAGAGACAGAGACAGAGAGAGAGAGACAGAGAGAGACAGAGAGAGACAGAGACCGAGAGAGACAGAGACCGAGAGAGACAGAGACAGAGAGAGAGAGAGACAGAGAGAGACAGAGACAGAGAGAGAGAGACAGAGGGAGACAGACAGAGACAGAGAGAGACAGAGACAGAGAGATACAGAGAGAGACAGAGACAGAGAGACAGAGACAATAGACAATACAGAGACAGAGAGAGACACAGAGACAGAGAGAGAGAGACAGAGACAGAGAGACATAGTGAGTGCTGGATGTGTCAGTAGGGCTAGGTGTCGGAGAGGTAGCAGCTAAACGGTCCACAGACACAAACAGGACAGACAGATATAACCCAGCCTAGTGCTGACAGATATAACCCAGCCTAGTGCTGACAGATATAACCCAGCCTAGTGCTGACAGATATAACCCGGCCTAGTGCTGACAGATATAACCCAGCCTAGTGCTGACAGATATAACCCAGCCTAGTGCTGACAGATATAACCCGGCCTAGTGCTGACAGATATAACCCAGCCTAGTGCTGACAGATATAACCCAGCCTAGTGCTGACAGATATAACCCAGCCTAGTGCTGACAGATATAACCCAGCCTAGTGCTGACAGATATAACCCAGCCTAGTGCTGACAGATATAACCCGGCCTAGTGCTAACAGATATAACCCGGCCTAGTGCTGACAGATATAACCCAGCCTAGTGCTGACAGATATAACCCAGCCTAGTGCTGACAGATATAACCCAGCCTAGTGCTGACAGATATAACCCAGCCTAGTGCTGACAGATATAACCCAGCCTAGTGCTGACAGATATAACCCAGCCTAGTGCTGACAGATAAAACCCAGCCTAGTGCTGACAGATAAAACCCGGCCTAGTGCTGACAGATATAACCCGGCCTAGTGCTGACAGATATAACCCGGCCTAGTGCTGACAGATATAATCCGGCCTAGTGCTGACAGATATAACCCGGCCTAGTGCTGACAGATATAACCCAGCCTAGTGCTGACAGATATAACCCAGCCTAGTGCTGACAGATATAACCCGGCCTAGTGCTGACAGATATAACCCGGCCTAGTGCTGACAGATATAACCCGGCCTAGTGCTGACAGATATAACCCGCCTAGTGCTGACAGATATAACCCAGCCTAGTGCTGACAGATATAACCCAGCCTAGTGCTGACAGATATAACCCAGCCTAGTGCTGACAGATATAACCCAGCCTAGTGCTGACAGATATAACCCAGCCTAGTGCTGACAGATATAACCCAGCCTAGTGCTGACAGATATAACCCAGCCTAGTGCTGACAGATATAACCCAGCCTAGTGCTGACAGATATAACCCAGCCTAGTGCTGACAGATATAACCCAGCCTAGTGCTGACAGATATAACCCAGCCTAGTGCTGACAGATATAACCCAGCCTAGTGCTGACAGATATAACCCAGCCTAGTGCTGACAGATATAACCCAGCCTAGTGCTGACAGATATAACCCAGCCTAGTGCTGACAGATATAACCCAGCCTAGTGCTGACAGATATAACCCAGCCTAGTGCTGACAGATATAACCCAGCCTAGTGCTGACAGATATAACCCAGCCTAGTGCTGACAGATATAACCCAGCCTAGTGCTGACAGATATAACCCAGCCTAGTGCTGACAGTTTACAGCCAACACTACTACATAATTATGTCTTAGAAGAAATAAAAATATATAAAAACGCAACATGCAACAATTTCAAAGAGTTAAAGTTCATATCAGGAAATCAGTCAATTGAAATAAATTCATTAGGCCCTAATCTATGGATTTCACGTGACTGGGCAGGGATGCAGCCACGGGTGGGCCTGGGAGTGCATAGGCCCACCCACTGGGGAGCCAGGCCTAGACAATCGAATGAGTTTCTCCCCACAAAAGGGCTTTATTACGGGCATAAATAACCTTAACTCACAAGTTTTGAGAAACAGGTAAAATCATGAACGTTTCTATAACTCTAATCCCCTTGGAATGAGCGCAACCAAAACAAAACTCATCTCCAAAACGGCAAAAGGTAAATTGTGAGCCAGGGCTATACACTGGCTAAACACAAAACGTATTGACTGCCCACCCTTGAAAGATAATCAGCAACCAAGTTGTCCTTACCACGGACATGTCTGATTTCAAGGGGAAACTCCTGTAATATGAGACTCCAGCGAAGGAGTCGGCAGTTCGTGGACCCCGTCTTTTGCAGGAAAATGAGAGGGTTATATGATTGGTATAGACCACCAGAAGTGTAGTGACCGATACATAAGAGGGTTATATGATTGGTATAGACCACCAGAAGTGTAGTGACCGATACATAAGAGGGTTATATGATTGGTATAGACCACCAGAAGTGTAGTGACCGATACATAAGAGGGTTATATGATTGGTATAGACCACCAGAAGTGTAGTGACCGATACATAAGAGGGTTATATGATTGGTATAGACCACCAGAAGTGTAGTGACCGATACATAAGAGGGTTATATGATTGGTATAGACCACCAGAAGTGTAGTGACCGATACATAAGAGGGTTATATGATTGGTATAGACCACCAGAAGTGTAGTGACCGATACATAAGAGGGTTATATGATTGGTATAGACCACCAGAAGTGTAGTGACCGATACATAAGAGGGTTATATGATTGGTATAGACCACCAGAAGTGTAGTGACCGATACATACAGATATAACCCGGACCACCAGAAGTGTAGTGACCGATACATAAGAGGGTTATATGATTGGTATAGACCACCAGAAGTGTAGTGACCGATACATAAGAGGGTTATATGATTGGTATAGACCACCAGAAGTGTAGTGACCGATACATAAGAGGGTTATATGATTGGTATAGACCACCAGAAGTGTAGTGACCGATACATAAGAGGGTTATATGATTGGTATAGACCACCAGAAGTGTAGTGACCGATACATAAGAGGGTTATATGATTGGTATAGACCACCAGAAGTGTAGTGACCGATACATAAGAGGGTTATATGATTGGTATAGACCACCAGAAGTGTAGTGACCGATACATAAGAGGGTTATATGATTGGTATAGACCACCAGAAGTGTAGTGACCGATACATAAGAGGGTTATATGATTGGTATAGACCACCAGAAGTGTAGTGACCGATACATAAGAGGGTTATATGATTGGTATAGACCACCAGAAGTGTAGTGACCGATACATAAGAGGGTTATATGATTGGTATAGACCACCAGAAGTGTAGTGACCGATACATAAGAGGGTTATATGATTGGTATAGACCACCAGAAGTGTAGTGACCGATACATAAGAGGGTTATATGATTGGTATAGACCACCAGAAGTGTAGTGACCGATACATAAGAGGGTTATATGATTGGTATAGACCACCAGAAGTGTAGTGACCGATACATACAGATATAACCCGGACCACCAGAAGTGTAGTGACCGATACATAAGAGGGTTATATGATTGGTATAGACCACCAGAAGTGTAGTGACCGATACATAAGAGGGTTATATGATTGGTATAGACCACCAGAAGTGTAGTGACCGATACATAAGAGGGTTATATGATTGGTATAGACCACCAGAAGTGTAGTGACCGATACATAAGAGGGTTATATGATTGGTATAGACCACCAGAAGTGTAGTGACCGATACATAAGAGGGTTATATGATTGGTATAGACCACCAGAAGTGTAGTGACCGATACATAAGAGGGTTATATGATTGGTATAGACCACCAGAAGTGTAGTGACCGATACATAAGAGGGTTATATGATTGGTATAGACCACCAGAAGTGTAGTGACCGATACATAAGAGGGTTATATGATTGGTATAGACCACCAGAAGTGTAGTGACCGATACATAAGAGGGTTATATGATTGGTATAGACCACCAGAAGTGTAGTGACCGATACATAAGAGGGTTATATGATTGGTATAGACCACCAGAAGTGTAGTGACCGATACATAAGAGGGTTATATGATTGGTATAGACCACCAGAAGTGTAGTGACCGATACATAAGAGGGTTATATGATTGGTATAGACCACCAGAAGTGTAGTGACCGATACATAAGAGGGTTATATGATTGGTATAGACCACCAGAAGTGTAGTGACCGATACATACAGATATAACCCGGCCTAGTGCTGACAGATATAACCCGGACCACCAGAAGTGTAGTGACCGATACATAAGAGGGTTATATGATTGGTATAGACCACCAGAAGTGTAGTGACCGATACATAAGAGGGTTATATGATTGGTATAGACCACCAGAAGTGTAGTGACCGATACATAAGAGGGTTATATGATTGGTATAGACCACCAGAAGTGTAGTGACCGATACATAAGAGGGTTATATGATTGGTATAGACCACCAGAAGTGTAGTGACCGATACATAAGCCTTGAAGTGCTGAAGAGCCAGTACCAAAGTGAGCATCTCCTTCTCGATAGTCAATCAAATGTTTTTGATACGAGGCCAATTTCTTTGAAAACTACCCCACAGGGGTAGTAACCTCCCGAGTGGCGCAGTGGTCTAAGGCACTGCATCACAGTGCTAGCTGTGCCACTAGAGATCCTGGTTCGAATCCAGGCTCTGCTGTAGCCGGCCGCAACCGGGAGACCAATGGGGCGGCGCACAATTGGTCCAGGGTAGGGGAGGGAATGGCCGGCAGGGAGGTAGCTCAGTTGGTAGAGCATGGCATTTGCAACGCCAGGGTTGTGGGTTCGATTCCCACGGGGGGCCAGTATGAAAATAAAAAAGAATAATGTACAGTGGGGAAAAAAAGTATTTAGTCAGCCACCAATTGTGCAAGTTCTCCCACTTAAAAAGATGAGAGAGGCCTGTAATTTTCATCATAGGTACACGTCAACTATAACAGACAAAATGAGAAATAAAAATCCAGAAAATCACATTGTAGGATTTTTTATGAATTTATTTGCAAATTATGGTGGAAAATAAGTATTTGGTCAATAACAAAAGTTTCTCAATACTTTGTTATATACCCTTTGTTGGCAATGACACAGGTCAAACGTTTTCTGTAAGTCTTCACAAGGTTTTCACACACTGTTGCTGGTATTTTGGCCCATTCCTCCATGCAGATCTCCTCTAGAGCAGTGATGTTTTGGGGCTGTCACTGGGTAACACGGACTTTCAACTCCCTCCAAAGATTTTCTATGGGGTTGAGATCTGGAGACTGGCTAGGCCACTCCAGGACCTTGAAATGCTTCTTACGAAGCCACTCCTTCGTTGCCCGGGCGGTGTGTTTGGGATCATTGTCATGCTGAAAGACCCAGCCACGTTTCATCTTCAATGCCCTTGCTGATGGAAGGAGGTTTTCACTCAAAATCTCACGATACATGGCCCCATTCATTCTTTCCTTTACACGGATCAGTTGTCCTGGTCCCTTTGCAGAAAAACAGCCCCAAAGCATGAAGTTTCCACCCCCATGCTTCACAGTAGGTATGGTGTTCTTTGGATGCAACTCAGCATTCTTTGTCCTCCAAACACGATGAGTTGAGTTTTTAACAAAAAGTTATATTTTGGTTTCATCTGACCATATGACATTCTCCCAATCCTCTTCTGGATCATCCAAATGCACTCTAGCAAACTTCAGACGGGCCTGGACATGTACTGGCTTAAGCAGGGGGACACGTCTGGCAATGCAGGATTTGAGTCCCTGGCGGCGTAGTGTGTTACTGATGGTAAGCTTTGTTACTTTGGTCCCAGCTCTCTGCAGGTCATTCACTAGGTCCCCCCGTGTGGTTCTGGGATTTTTGCTCACCGTTCTTGTGATCATTTTGACCCCACGGGGTGAGATCTTGCGTGGAGACCCAGATCGAGGGAGATTATCAGTGGTCTTGTATGTCTTCCATTTCCTAATAATTGCTCCCACAGTTGATTTCTTCAAACCAAGCTGCTTACCTATTGCAGATTCAGTCTTCCCAGCCTGGTGCAGGTCTACAATTTTGTTTCTGGTGTCCCTTGACAGCTCTTTGGTCTTGACCATAGTGGAGTTTGGAGTGTGACTGTTTGAGGTTGTGGACAGGTGTCTTTTATACTGATAACAAGTTCAAACAGGTGCCATTAATACAGGTAACGAGTGGAGGACAGAGGAGCCTCTTAAAGAAGACGTTACAGGTCTGTGAGAGCCAGAAATCTTGCTTGTTTGTAGGTGACCAAATACTTATTTTCCACCATAATTTGCAAATAAATTCATAAAAAATCCTACAATGTGATTTTCTGGAAAAAAAATTCTCAATGTCTGTCATAGTTGACGTGTACCTATGATGAAAATGACAGGCCTCTCTCATCTTTTTAAGTGGGAGAACTTGCACAATTGGTGGCTGACTAAATACTTTTTTTCCCCACTGTATGCACTAACTGTAAGTCGCTCTGGATAAGAGCGTCTGCTAAATGACGTAAAAAAGAAAAAAAAGAAAAAAGGGTGCTCAACATAGTTATCATCTTTCTGCAGGAGCTAAGCCCCGGTTCCTACATCGCTGGTATTGGTATACAAAGCAAATGGACTACGGAAATTCAGAGCAGCTAGCACCGGTGCAGAGACCAAAAGGGGTTTTGTCTTCTCAAAAGCCTCCTGACAGTCGGGGCTCCATAATTTCGTAACCCGAACGGGAGACGAAGGTAGGAAAACAAACCATCAGGACTGACAAAAGTATGCCAAAAAGACATCAAGGTTTTCTAGAATCTCTGAGTTACTCAGCTGTCCCACAGGCACAGGGTACATTGGGCTTTCCTCGTGCTTTTGAGGAAGACTATAGTCAATGGTGACAGCAGTGGCTACAGGCAGGACATCTCTACCGGTTTCCACCGACTTCTCCGCACCATCGTAGCAGGTGAAGTATGGTTTCAACCTGTGCTTCGGTGTGGCAATGTAATCCCAATTACCAACTTTTTACACTATGGCGTAAGGGCCTGAAAAGCGAGCTTGCAACGGTGACCTCAGAACGAGCAACAAAACCAAGACTGGGTCACCCACATCGAAAGTGCCTTTCGATGTATCAAACTTTCAGATTCTCACTGACAAACTCACAGGTGCGGTGCAATCTGTATCGAAAAGCGCTAACGTGCTCCAACAGATTTGTTTTTCTGTTTAAGGTGTAGCCCTGCAACAACCTCTCTCTCAGCAAGCTCAAAGGACCTCTGACATGATGTCCACATACGAGCTCATTCGGACTAAAACCGAGAGATTCCTGAACAACCTCCCGCGCTGCAAACAGCACAAGACCCCTTCATCCCAGTCCTTCTCAAACTCAAAGCAGTAAACTCTCAACATAGACTTCAAAGTCTGATGAAGTCTCTTAAGAGCACTTGAGACTCTGGGTGGTAGGCACTAGATTGGTAAATGGGTTACACCCAACTGTTGTAGCACTTGCTGGAAGTTCTTTTTTCATGAAATTCGAAACCTTGGTCCGATTGCACTACCTGCGGAAGTCCAAAAGTTGAAAATAATTTCACCAGAGCCGTGATTTTCCTCAGTGGAATGGCCACAGGGAAACAAGTGTCAGCGCACATGATGGTTAAGAGAAACTGGTTACCACTCTTTGCTTTGGGCCTAAATACAATCCACCAGAACCCTGCTGAAAGGTTCGTCAAAAGCAGGAATAGGCTATAAAGGTGCAACCAGTACAGCTTGGTTCGGTTTACCTGTCCGCTGGCAAATGCGACAGGATTTACAGCAAGACACAACATCCTGTTTCAGACCAGGCCAGAAGAAGTTACACAAGATACGGTCATACGTCTTGTTGAGCCCAAGATGGCCTGCCATACTACCATCGGGAGCCAACCGGTCATACGTCTTGTTGAGCACAAGATGGCCTGCCATACTACCATCGGGAGCCAACCGGTCATACGTCTTGTTGACCCCAAGATGGCCTGCCACACTACCATCGGGAGCCAACCGGTCATACGTCTTGTTGACCCCAAGATGGCCTGCCATACTACCATCGGGAGCCAACCGGTCATACGTCTTGTTGACCCCAAGATGGCCTGCCATACTACCATCGGGAGCCAACCGGTCATACGTCTCTCACAGTTGAAGTGTACCTATGATAAAAATTACAGACCTCTACATGCTTTGTAAGTAGGAAAACCTGCAAAATCGGCAGTGTATCACATACTTGTTCTCCCCATCTCTATCTCTATGGGGTGTCCTCTACCATATCTATCTCTATGGGGTGTCCTCTACCATATCTATCTCTATGGGGTGTCCTCTACCATATCTATCTCTATGGGGTGTCCTCTACCATATCTATCTCTATGGGGTGTCCTCTACCATATCTATCTCTATGGGGTGTCCTCTACCATATCTATCTCTATGGGGTGTCCTCTACCATATCTATCTCTATGGGGTGTCCTCTACCATATCTATCTCTATGGGGTGTCCTCTACCATATCTATCTCTATGGGGTGTCCTCTACCATATCTATCTCTATGGGGTGTCCTCTACCACCCATAGGACCCCTTTCATCATCCTCCCTCTCAGGAAGGATTTCCTCCTCCATCAAAGCATTATAGACTAACTATTTGACTACTGCTTTCAAATCAGCATGTGCAACTTTAAGGTCATAATGCTTTGCAATAATGAGCAGATTCGCCATCGTTTTCTTGCGCTGTAGAAATGTTGCTCAACATGAGCTCCTGAAGATTTCCGATTACATTTGCATTGATGTCAGAGTGATTAGAGGGACAATAGAGTGCTGAGTACCAGGCAGTTAGCAAGTTTGGTAGGCTACTAATGACCATCAGCAGCATCAGAGCTTGGAGAAGCCTAATTACCGTGAATAACCGGTCACGTGGAATTTGACTGTCTTCATGACTCGTAACCGCCAGCGCGGCGGTAATACAGTCACCGCAACAGCCCTATTTAAAATACACAGACTGTAGAGTTAACAACAGCCCTATTTAAAATACACAGACTGTAGAGTTACCAACAGCCCTATTTAAAATACACAGACTGTAGAGTTAACAGCAGCCCTATTTAAAATACACAGACTGTAGAGTTAACAGCAGCCCTATTTAAAATACACAGACTGTAGAGTTAACAACAGCCCTATTTAAAATACACAGACTGTAGATTTAACAGCAGCCCTATTTAAAATACACAGACTGTAGAGTTAACAACAGCCCTATTTAAAATACACAGACTGTAGAGTTAACAGCAGCCCTATTTAAAATACACAGACTGTAGAGTTAACAGCAGCCCTATTTAAAATACACAGACTGTAGAGTTAACAGCAGCCCTATTTAAAATACACAGACTGTAGAGTTAACAGCAGCCCTATTTAAAATACACAGACTGTAGAGTTAACAACAGCCCTATTTAAAATACACAGACTGTAGAGTTAACAGCAGCCCTATTTAAAATACACAGACTGTAGAGTTAACAACAGCCCTATTTAAAATACACAGACTGTAGAGTTAACAGCAGCCCTATTTAAAATACACAGACTGTAGAGTTAACAACAGCCCTATTTAAAATACACAGACTGTAGAGTTAACAGCAGCCCTATTTAAAATACACAGACTGTAGAGTTAACAACAGCCCTATTTAAAATACACAGACTGTAGAGTTAACAACAGCCCTATTTAAAATACACAGACTGTAGAGTTACCAACTGTTCTAGTTATAATACAGACTGTAGAGTTACCAACTGTTCTAGTTATAATACACAGACTGTAGAGTTAACAGCAGCCCTATTTAAAATACACAGACTGTAGAGTTAACAGCAGCCCTATTTAAAATACACAGACTGTAGAGTTACCAACAGCCCTATTTAAAATACACAGACTGTAGAGTTAACAGCAGCCCTATTTAAAATACACAGACTGTAGAGTTAACAACAGCCCTATTTAAAATACACAGACTGTAGAGTTACCAACTGTTCTAGTTATAATACAGACTGTAGAGTTACCAACTGTTCTAGTTATAATACACAGACTGTAGAGTTACCAACTGTTCTAGTTATAATACAGACTGTAGAGTTACCAACTGTTCTAGTTATAATACAGACTGTAGAGTTAACAACTGTTCTAGTTATAATACAGACTGTAGAGTTACCAACTGTTCTAGTTATAATACACAGACTGTAGAGTTACCAACTGTTCTAGTTATAATACACAGACTGTAGAGTTACCAACTGTTCTAGTTATAATACAGACTGTAGAGTTAACAACTGTTCTAGTTATAATACACAGACTGTAGAGTTAACAGCAGCCCTATTTAAAATACACAGACTGTAGAGTTAACAACAGCCCTATTTAAAATACACAGACTGTAGAGTTAACAGCAGCCCTATTTAAAATACACAGACTGTAGAGTTAACAACAGCCCTATTTAAAATACACAGACTGTAGAGTTAACAGCAGCCCTATTTAAAATACACAGACTGTAGAGTTAACAACAGCCCTATTTAAAATACACAGACTGTAGAGTTACCAACAGCCCTATTTAAAATACACAGACTGTAGAGTTACCAACTGTTCTAGTTATAATACAGACTGTAGAGTTACCAACTGTTCTAGTTATAATACACAGACTGTAGAGTTAACAGCAGCCCTATTTAAAATACACAGACTGTAGAGTTAACAGCAGCCCTATTTAAAATACACAGACTGTAGAGTTACCAACAGCCCTATTTAAAATACACAGACTGTAGAGTTAACAGCAGCCCTATTTAAAATACACAGACTGTAGAGTTAACAACAGCCCTATTTAAAATACACAGACTGTAGAGTTACCAACTGTTCTAGTTATAATACAGACTGTAGAGTTACCAACTGTTCTAGTTATAATACAGACTGTAGAGTTACCAACTGTTCTAGTTATAATACAGACTGTAGAGTTACCAACTGTTCTAGTTATAATACAGACTGTAGAGTTACCAACTGTTCTAGTTATAATACAGACTGTAGAGTTACCAACTGTTCTAGTTATAATACACAGACTGTAGAGTTACCAACTGTTCTAGTTATAATACACAGACTGTAGAGTTACCAACTGTTCTAGTTATAATACAGACTGTAGAGTTAACAACTGTTCTAGTTATAATACACAGACTGTAGAGTTACCAACTGTTCTAGTTATAATACAGACTGTAGAGTTACCAACTGTTCTAGTTATAATACAGACTGTAGAGTTACCAACTGTTCTAGTTATAATACACAGACTGTAGAGTTACCAACTGTTCTAGTTATAATACAGACTGTAGAGTTACCAACTGTTCTAGTTATAATACACAGACTGTAGAGTTACCAACTGTTCTAGTTATAATACACAGACTGTAGAGGTAACAACTGTTCTAGTTATAATACAGACTGTAGAGTTACCAACTGTTCTAGTTATAATACAGACTGTAGAGTTACCAACTGTTCTAGTTATAATACACAGACTGTAGAGTTACCAACTGTTCTAGTTATAATACACAGACTGTAGAGTTACCAACTGTTCTAGTTATAATACAGACTGTAGAGTTACCAACTGTTCTAGTTATAATACAGACTGTAGAGTTAACAACTGTTCTAGTTATAATAATATAATATAATGTTGTATCAATACCCATGATTAGTATTAATTATATATTATAAATACAATTTTCCCCCGTTTTCGTCCACTCCAAGACAACTTCAAACTTGGCCCATTTTTTTCCTTCATATTCTTTTAGCGTTCCATTTGCAATCATATCTTTTAAAATTTGACCGTTTGAGCCATTCTGCAAATGAGGGTGACTGCTCCTCTTCCCAATGCCTTAGGGTTAGGGTTAGGGTTAGGGTTATTTAAATTATTTTCCAATATTCTTCCAACTTAGGACACTTGACCAACATATGAATAAGCCCAGCATCATCTGATTTACATCTCCAACATTTGCTATTTAGAGGGAGTCCAGTAAGTTCTATTAAATTATATTCTACTGAACCATTTGTTTTTTAAACTCTGCACTTTTAAAAACAGTTTCTCCACACCTTTTTCCATTCAATTTCTTGTATAATAATCTTAAAATCTTTACCCCATTTCTCTCTTAAGGGAAGGTGTACTCCCCTTGTTATCTAGTGTAAGAATGTATACACCCTAGATGCCAGGTGGTTGTTGGAATGGATCCTTTATGAAACTTTCCAATTTGTTAAAATCATGTTTAAATGTAATTGTTCTATCTGCAGACTGGACTGCCTGTACAATCTGAATTATTCTAAAATGGTTGGTAAAGCCAGTCTTATCCTTCAGTTCATTCAGACCCATAATTTTACCATCTTTATACAAATCAGACATGATCTGTCACATGATCTCAGTATATATACACACCTGTTCTGAAAGGCCCCAGAGTCCGCAACACCACTAAGCAAGGGCCACCACCAAGCAAGCGGCACCATGAAGACCAAGGAGCTCTCCAAACAGGTCAGGGACAAAGTTGTGGAGAAGTACAGATCAGGGTTGGGTTATAAAAAAATATCTGGAACTTTAAACATCCCACGGAGCACCATTAAATCCATTATTAAAAAATGGAAAGAATATGGCACCACAACAAACCTGCCAAGAGAGGGCCGCCCACCAAAACTCACAGACCAGGCAAGGATGGCATTAATCAGAGAGGCAACAAAGAGACCAAAGATTTTACATTTTACATTTTTACATTTTAGTCATTTAGCAGACGCTCTTATCCAGAGCGACTTACAGTTAGTGAATACATTTTTTTTATTATTTTTTTATACTGGCCCCCCGTGGGAATCGAACCCACAACCCTGGCGTTGCAAACGCCATGCTCTATCAACTGAGCTACATCCCTGCCGGCCATTCCCTCCCCTACCCTGGACGACGCTGGGCCAATTGTGCGCCGCCCATGAGTCTCCCGGTCGCGGCCGGCGGCGACAGAGCCTGGATACGAACCAGGATCTCTAGTGGCACAGTTAGCACTGCAATGCAGTGCCTTAGACCACTGCGCCACT